GGCTGTTGGCCTCTTCTCCCTGAGCCTGGAGCCTATGAACACTGCTCTCTTCCCTCCCTACTCAGTTTATTCTCCAAATGACAGTAGGCTGAGTTTCCTGAAACATAATCAGATCATAGTGCTGCTCAATCACCTTACCTTGGTCTTTAATATCCTGTGTGATGGGGCCCTTGTTAATTACCATGCTAACACACACTAGCTTTTTTTTTTTTTTTTTTTTTGCATTTTTAGAAAATTTCAGAATATTACAGGGGTACACCTGGTTTGGTTACATAATTTGCTTTTGTATATTTCAGGTTTAAGTTATAAGTGTGCCATTCACCTATAATGTGTACCCACTAGGCATCAATTAACCCAACCTCCCCTCCCCACACACACCTACTTGATTTCTGCTGAGTTTTACTTCCATTGATTGACTGGTTCCAATTTAGTACTGAGTACATGTGGTGATACTTTAATTAGGAATATGGTCTCTAGTTCCTTCCAGGTTGTTACAAAAGATACTAGATCAGTTTTTTTTTATGGCAGAGTAGTACTCTGTAGTATACATATGCCATATTTTATTAATCCACTCATGTATTGATGGGCATTTGTGTTGTTTCCACATCTTCCCCTTTGTAAATTGTGCTGCTATAAACATTCTTTGTAATAAAAATGACTTTTCTTCTTTCTAGTAGTAGGATTGCTGGATCAAATGATAGGTCTGTATTTTAGTTCTCTAAGGTATCTCCATACTACTTTCCATAGAGGCAATATTACTTTGCTGTTCCATGAACAGTGTACCAGTGTCCCTTCCTCTTAGTATCACACCAACACTTGTCTGGGGGCTTTTTCGTAAGAGCCATTCTCGTTGGAGTTAGTTGATATATCGTTGTGGTTTTAAGTTGCGTTTCCTTAATGATTAGAGATGTTGAGCATTTTTTCATGTGTTTATTGGCCATTAAACTATCTTTATTTGGAAGTTTCTATTTATGTCTTTTGCCCACTTTTTAATGAGGTTGTTTGATTTTTTTCTTGCTAATTTGCTTGAGTTCATTGTAGATTCTGGTTATCAGCCCTTTATCAGTTGTATAACATGTGAATATTTCCTCCCATTCTATGGGTTGTCCATTTACTCTATTGATTGTGTCCATGGCTGTGAAGAAACTTTGTAATTTGATCAGGTTCCATTCGTTTATTTTTTTTGTGATTGCTTTTGAGATCTTCTCCATAAATTCTTTCCCTAGTTGGATACATAAATATTTTCCAACATTTTCTTCTAGAATTCTTAGTTTCATGCCTTAGGTTTAAGTCTTTTATCCACTGTGAATTAATTTGTGTAAGTGGTGAGAGGTGTGAATTCCTTTTCAGTCTTTTACACGTAGCTGTCCAATATTCCCAGCACCATTTATTGAATAGGGATTCTTCTCCATACTATCCTTTTAATTCTTGAAGACACCAAGTCTATTCCACCTTAGGGTCTTTGCACTAGTAGTTCCCGTGGCGAGGAATGCTCTTCTTCCAACTTTTTCATTACTAGCTCCTTGTCACTCAGCTTATATGTCCCTTCACTGAAAGGCCTTCTCAATCGACCTCTACAAGGATAGCACATCATCTGAGTTAAAGTCTCTGCCTTGCACTTGCCACCATCTGACATTTTAATTTTAATTTTATTTTCTGCTTTCTTATTTTCATTTTCTATCCCCTCACTACAGTCTAAGATCCAAAGGGCAGAAACTTTGTATTTTTCATCACAGAACCTAGAACAGTACACGGCACATGTTAGGCCCTTAATAATTACTTAGTGGATGAATTATTATCCTGTCTTTTCTGCTCTTCTTAGAGCAAACAGCTTTCTTAAGACAGATGCCCTCCAGACACAGCAGATAATCTGGAGGTTTTCATAACATCCCCATATTGCTTCTTCCCCTACAGAATTCTAGCTGCTGGGAGATGCAAACCCCCCGCCCCCTCACCTCGATAGGTCAGCAGTGCTTCATCAAGGAACTCAGCAGCCTTTCGGAAATGCTGGGAGATGTCCACCTCAGGAAAGTCATCCACCTCCACACCCAGGTACTGGATCTCCAGGCCAGTATAGAATTCAGGGCCAGTATAAACGCCTGTGCCATGCGCAGCATTCAGGATATGGGTGATTCCCAGCCTCTTCAGCCTACCCTTGTTCACTGCCACACTCCTGGGGGAAGACACAGGGATTATGTTAGCCAGAGTCAGAATTGGAAGAGCACATTACCCCTGCAGTGGGGAGCCTGCTGCAGGGGTCAGAGGGCCTCAGCTGGGTGAGTGCATCTTTCTCTGCTTCTGAGTGTCTTGGCTCACTGTAAATATCATTATAAAAAGGGTCAGTGACTTGGTGGCAGCAAGAGAGGAAAGACAGGGAACTAGGCAGGGGAGGACAAGAAGAAAAGAAAAATAAAACTGATGTGTAGGAAAATCTTTGATTGGTCTAGAGACCTCTAATTTAAAACTTCATGCTTTGGGAGTGGACATTCATCAAAGATAAAAGTGGCAGATGGAAATTATGAAATTATGTGTACTTTACATTGATATGGCATGCTTATATTTTTCAAAATCCTTTCACATGCATTATTTTATTTTATCCTAATAGTGAACTTGAGAGGTAGATAGGGCAACTATTTTTATTCCTAATTAAAGATTATAAAAATGAATCTAAGCTCTTACAACTTCCCCAGACACTGAAAAGAGAAAAAAACTCAGAACAAGAACTGATGCCTGAGATTTCTAGTTTGGAGCTTTTTCTGCTGCCGCTGAATAAGGGGAGCTTAGTTTGAAGAGGCCCTGAGGACAGGGCTGCCTGAGAAGGAACAGAGGCTTTTAGCTGGGGATACCTGGTGATGCCTGTGGTGCCTGGAGATGTTGTGGCGACCACAAGGTGAACGCTTCTGGATGTACAGATGGATTTAATCACTTAGGATTTGGTGCCCAGATCTGGGCATGAAGTTCTAGGTAACCAATTACTCCATGGTGAAGATAAAACCTAATGTTCAAAGCTGTCTTCTCTACTGCCTGCCCTGGGGCCCCAAGTCCCCTCTCTTGCTTCTGGATATAAGGGTAATTACACTGGGAGAACATCTCATTAAGCAGTCAATGAATCAGCAAAAATTAGTTTCAGAAATTCACAAATTTACCTGTTGGTACCAATTACGCCCTGGAAAGATCCTGAAGGAACAGCACATGAGGAAATTCTTTTTGTTTTTGTTCTGGAAACCACTAATAAACTTTTTGTTGTTGTTGTTTGTTTGTTTGTTTGTTTTAAGAGGCACGGTCTTGCTTTGTTGCCCTAGCTAGAGTGCGGTGGCTATTTACACTACAAAGCCCCTGGCCTCAGGTACACTCTTAAAAAAATAGCAGTTTCCTGATTATAAAAACAATAAATGTCTGCTCTAGGAAACCTGTCCAATTCAAAAGAAACTGAAAAATGAAAATAAAAGCCCCTTTTAAAAACACCTCACAGAGAGAAATATTAACATTTAGTTACATTTCTAATTGTTGTCTATGTAAAAGCCCCCACACTTCCCTATGTGTTACTCAATTTGCATGATACTGTATATGTATTCTCTTGTGATCTAATTTTTTTATACTATATTTTTTCATGTTGGTAAATATGTACACATGTCAATATTGTCCATGCTCCTTGTGTCCTGCTCTGCGGTTGTTACAGATGCCATGAGCTGGTGGAGTTGACAGGACTCTGTGGCAGGACTGGAGGCCCAGAGAAGGCCTTCTGGAGGGATGAGGCTGTGGCAGATGGCTCTGGTGGGAGGGTAAAGGAGAAAAAATTGTACCAGCATTTTGCTTGGGGATCTCTGTGGGCAGGTAGGTAGGGCCTTTTTCCACGCCCAGGACAGAGAAAGTGGTCAGGAAGCCCCAGTGTGCTGGATGGACCTGAGGGGGCCTTTGATGAAAGCTGGGGGAATTTCATCTCTCTCAGTCTCTAATCAGAGGGTGGGACAAAGGGCCATGAGCCCCAGTAGTCAGACTCACTTCTCAGCTATGAAGACGTTGGGCCAGACTTCATCTACCTCGTTCCATGGGGTCTCTTGCCGGTCCTGAAGCAGGGCCCGCTGTAAGTCCAGGATGCAGGGGGTGTTGTACAGGCTGGTGTCATCCATCTTCTCCCTGACGCGGTTGTACAAGTCCTCCACCAGCAGCTGCTCAGCAGACTCCAGCAAGCCTGGACACTCTGTGTCTGCTTTGAGCTCCCGCGGCTTGAGTTCTAGAGTGGACGGTGGCATTCTCATCAGAGAGTTGGAAATACCAGAGCCTTCCCTGTTTCTTGGGAGAAGCTGCTCTTGGGAAGTTTGCTGCAAGGATTCTGGGCATGAACTGCATGTCACCAGGGTCTACTAGGAAAGACTTAGCGGTGCCCAGGGGCCCAGTTAGGAATAAGGTGGATGAGGTCTCCAGGACTGTGTAGGTGTGGCTGGAGAAAAAACACTTTCCCCTACTTCCTTCCATGCTTCTCTGAAGCTGGCTGATGATCCGTAAGTGCTAGGTACACGTCCTGTTTATACTTTGACTCCCACAGAGCCAGGTCCAATGTGGATACTGGGAAGTATTTACCAAATGAGTAACTGTAATTCACTCTATTAATTTGATTCCTTTACATATGGATTGCAAATAACCCTGGGAAAAGTAAGACTTTCAGCATTTATTCATATGATGTTACCTTCTAATACACATTTAATTTACTTATTTCATTCAATGCCCACCCCCCACTAGACTATAAGCACCTGTGATTCTCAGCCACCCAGCACACGGGCAGTGGCAAGAGTTCGTCATGAGCTCCTGTGCCAGTTTCAAAACAGGACATGGGGGCCTTTCTGACAATGGAAAAGCTCAAATTCCACATGAAATCAGGTCCCAACTCACCCACATCTGGGGTGAACCTTTATCTTCTTTGAATAGTATATTAGCTCACAATTTATCAAAGGTGGGGGAAAATAAAATGTTTCCTTTCTCTAAGAAGGTAGATAAGAATAGGGGAGAGCAAAACCTTTCCTCTCACTCGGTAGCCAAAATTACTGCATAGACCAAGAAAGAAGCAGGAAGGGTATGTCCTCTGTGCTGGCCATCGCCTCTTGCGGGCGCCATCTCTTTCCCTGATGGCCGGTCTCTGGGTGGAGGGCTGCAGGGAGAGCCTGCCTGTGGTCTTGGGGCTGCCTGTGGCCTTCTGAATCCTTGAATGTGGCCTTTTGACCGAATCCAAAATGTATAGGAAAAAGCACTTTGTTCTGTGAAGTTTGGACTCTGTCAAGGGGCTGCACTTGGGGATCTGGAGGGCTACATATGGCCTTAAGGACACAGGTTCCTCACCCCTGGCCCTAGTCACTTTTGGAAGATAGACTCGGCCCAGCCCTTCACGGAAGCACCTCCTGACAGGTGTGTACAAGCTGGGCTTGCTGCTCAAGGACTGCAAATCCTGGGGGTCCTGGTTTCCAGCTGGGGCTCAGGGTTTCATTTCCCTTCCCTCTTTCCTATCCAACCCCCCTGACTGGCCGCCACATCCTACCATCGGGGCTCAGTTCTAAATGTTCTCTGATCTCCATTTCAAAAGCAAAAAGAAGAAAAGCTCTGCAATCCCAGAGCTCTATTTTGTTTAAAAATAGATGAAGTGTTCCTATTTTCTCCACCACCCAGTTTTCTCCTCTAGCTCTCCTGGGGTCTTACATAGCAAATGTAACAGCCCCCTCCTGCCCTCCCCTACTTAGATATGGTCCCTTTACTACATGTGAAAAATAGCACTCCTGAAGCCTCATTAAAATACACGGTATTGTCTTCCTCAGCTAGGTTCGGGTTGCTATTTTGATTTCTTCCCTTTTCAGTTTAAAACCACATGCCCCAGCCCGTCACCCCACCAGCAACTCCTCCTTTCCCTAGGTCTCGATTCACACCGCCACCTCTTCAGACTTCACCTCCCTGCATCCATTTCTCCTGTTTGTTTGTTTACCTACGGTTTCTTCAGAAGAAAGCAGAGCCTGCACATTTCCCCTGTACCCTGCACTCTCTCCGATGCGTGGCATATGCAGACTTTCATGAAAATAGGAGGTTTTCAACATACATTTCCACCCCTCTGACCACTAGTGAACATGGTAATGTTTTGAAATATTACCTGATAAATTTTCCTTTCTCTATAATACATGGGTTTTTCTTCTCCCACAGTCCATCAACCACTAAGGCTCGTGAAACTAGGCTTAATGCCTCAGAGAAGGGAAAGTGGATAAAATGTAGAATTTAAAAAGCCATTGTACATCTTTTAGTTTCAAACGAGACTCTGAAAGCCCATAGCATTCCATAGACATCAAAGTGAAGCTTTCAAAGACAAAACATGTTTTTCTCACAACTCCTAAAGCTGGACTTTTACTTACCAAGAACGAAAACCTAGAGAGCGCCCTGGCAAGTGAAGCACAGACCAGGGATTACCCAGGATAGAAGGTTAGGGAAATTCCCAACCACAAAGGAGAAAAATGAGACCTTCCAGAGCTAGGGCTGTGGTGGAAGCAATTTAGTGGTAACTAGAGCAGGGTGAAGACACTGCCTGGACTGGAATCCTTGGATGACTTGGAGCAAGACAATAGGGGCCCCAGGGAGGGGGTGGGAAAAAAAAAACAACCCAAACTCAGAGGAAGCTTTGAGAAGATAAAGCCTCCCAGGGTGCCCAGAGCAGCCAGCAACAATAAATCAAATTTCTAATTTTCTGTGAGGTCTGATATGATAGCCAGATGTCCTTTAGAGACTCTGGTAGAGGCCCAAATGGATCAGGGGACTATGATAGGCCTGGGGTTAGGGTGAAGAAGGAGCAGCATGAGTGATTCTCACAACTAAAGGCCACAAGGGATGGTGGCCTCCAAGAGTTAAGTGCCAGGTTAAGGCCAAACACCAGCAGGGTCCTGTTGCATCAGCAGCCCTGCCTTATCCTACCCCAGCCCATCCTACCAGAAGTATAGGAAGGGGGGAGGAGAAAGGGAAGAAAGAAATTTTGGAAGATTGTTTGCCCAAAATTGACTAGGAAAAAGAAACCCACCCAATCAAGATAATTATCCTTGAATAAAATATAGTATATTATTTGCTCCAAAATTTACTGTGTGAATTTACTGTACTCACCCCACCCTTTCCTCATTCCTCCCCATGCTTATGTCTGTTTGAAGACCATCTTCAAGCACTGGTGGAAATGCAGCTCTAAATCTAGACATCCTTTTGAAGAGAACTCTTTGAATGCTCCTTGCCACTTCTGGGCCTTCTACCATAGCCACCTGAGGACTCTGAGGGGACCAGAAACTGAGCAGGAGGTCCCAAGGCCTGATTGGAGCTGCCCCTAGTTGACTAGAGAACTATTCACACTGATGCACAACAATTTCCACCTCTGTCCCATCAAAGTTGACTTGGGGTTGACAGAACTGCCTTCTCCAGATCTGCAGCTCTTGATGTGATGGGCAGATCTTTAGAAGCACATTTATGACTTCTTGTAGGCCCTGTCCAAGGGTCTCCAGATGACCTGTGGACTGCCCCTGCTTCCACCTGGTTTCTGGTCACATTACCTTCATTGATGATCTGTTTGGCTGCAATAGCTGAGGAGAGGTGAATGGGCTCCATGAAAATGCTTTCTGTTTCTGCATCTGAGACCATTGAGTACCTATGAGAAGAGGATATTCATGTGAGATAACCCTGGGCAGCAGCTGAATGCAAAAGATTTACAAACACTGAGAAATATGGATTTGCCTTTAGCTACAAGTGGATAGAAAACAATGAGAGAGAAAGGGAAAGCCTTCCTAAGTTGAGGGAACCCAAGAATGTGAAATAGTGGGTATCTTGTGGCTCAGTTTTGCATCTATTTTCAGACCTGAGTTGGCACCTATGGTGTGTAAGTTGATAGGCAGTCTACATTGGTGAAAATCCACCCTGATGTGGCTTCACTTTCTTAGATGTCCTACTGCCCATCTTCTCCCCTTCTTGTCTGCTGTTCTCTGCTATCAATACTATAGCATGCCCCAGCTGTGCCTTGGCAGGGTTCAGCTGGATCAGTGGGCTGTGCAGGCTGCCCCTGCATCTTCCACTTCTTCTCCCTGCTTGTGAGGGAGTGGGCTAGCGATGGAGGACCAGCTCACCAAGTGAAATGCCTACTCAAGTGCACAAGTCCTGATTCCAAGCACAAATCAAGAGTCACACTGAGCCCAGGGACACAAAAAAGTAACTTGGGGCTTGGTGCCCATAGCCCAGTGGTTAGGGCACTGGCCACATACACTGGGGCTGGTGGGTTTGAACCCTACTGAGGCTTGTTAAACAATGACAACAACAAAAATATAGCCAAGTGTTATGGTGGGCACCTGTAGTCCCAGTTACTTGGGAGGCTGAGGCAAGAGAATTGCTTAAGCCCAAGAGTTTGAAGTTGCTGTGAGCTGTGATGCAAGGCACTCTACTGAGGGTGACAGAGTAAAAAAAAAAAGTAACTTGGGTAAATATCAATGCAATTTTCCAAAAAGAATTCAGTGAAGGCATCAAAAGAGCCCTTTGAGGACCATGCTAGGGGACCAATGCTAGAGCAGAGACAAGTGGGCCATACCATAGCTCACTAGTGAATTCTCCTGAGTGAATTCTCTTGTTTTCCAAGTGTTGTTGTGAACTTTGGGTCTTTTCCCCCCTGTGTTTAGTCTAGTCTTCCTTTAGTTCCATAGAGGTTTTTAAAAAATGAGTGGAATTTAATAGATCCCACTTGTGAGTGGCTTCTATGAATTTAATTCTGATCAACCCTCCACAGAGGAGGTATTATTATTATTCCTGCTTTATAGATGAGAAAACTATAACTCAAAAGGTGAAGGAAACTACCCAAGGCAGTAAGTAAATGGCATGGCTACATTACAAACATAGTCTCCAAGTCCTGTATCCTCTTTACAAAACACCGACACCATCAGATTAGAGCAGGGAGGTGAGTCAGCAAGTGGAAACAACCCCAGTGGGATTCCCAGGCATAATGTAGACTTTGACAAAGAAAAGTACCTAAGAAATAGTTGGTGAAAACATGGATGGATGGATGGATGGGTTGAGTTGAGTAAAGTTGATTTGAGCTGAATCTACCTAAACTGAACAAAATTAACTTGAGATAAGTAGCAATTGAATTAAATTGAATTGCTTAGCAGAACAATTCTATTCTAGTAAGCATCCACAACCAAAGAATCCACCTTTGGAAGAATGGCGTGCTCAGTGTCAACCAGGCCATGGAGAAAGAAATGCCCTTATCAGGAGAGAGGAGTGGCCTGTGGCTCTAGCCAGGATGCGGCCAGACCTGCCCATGCAGCCTAAGAGGCAGCACTACATAGCATCATCATCCATGGTGCCTGAGAGTTTTCAGATAGCAGTTGTATTGAATCATTCCCATATCAACACCAAGTACTCATTGTGACTAAAAGATGCATTTTCAAATAATTATGACTGAGGTGTGAGGATAGATGAGGTTTATGGAATATTATCCCTCAATGTGAAAATTAAAGAGGTCTTTAGAATCTCAATGGTTGGTGCAGGCAATAAAGAACACCTGGTGGGATGGGCGTGAGCTCTATAAAGGTACAGATTGGGTGGTCTCATCTACCCGTGTCTCCAGCACATGGAAGGTGATCAGTCAAAGGTCAATGACTAAGTGAGTGGATGGATAGACAGATGAACAAATGGATGGCTGGATGGACTATGCAAGGTGTCCACATAATCATATTGTGGATCAAACCAGATAGTCTCCAAGGCCCTGCAATCGCTGGTCCCTCCTACTCCACTTTTCAGATTTTAGCTCAATCATCATTCCTTTAGGGACATCTCCCTTGGATCTTGCATCTTTTTTTGTAGCACATCTGTAAGATCCAATTTTACACTAGTTTTTGAAATCCTTTGATAATATTTGCCTCCTACACTAGATCATACCCTGTGTGAGGGCAAGGACCATGGATGAGTATTTTGTGGACCACTGTGTTCCCAGCACCCAGCACAATGTCTGCAATGTCTGGCTCAGAGTAAACGCCTAACAGATCTTTCCTGACTCACTCACTGATGTATCTGTCCTCAGTATCTCTCCATTTAAGGGAATGCAGCAGTTACAATAATTAGCAACGAGTTTATGAAGAATTTGCTGCTTGCTCATCATTTCACTGGGATACCGGTAGTAAGCCCTAAAGCAAAACTAGGATCTTGGCTCTGTCCTCCTGAGGCCAAAAAGTACACAATCTCTAAGCCCATGCCAGTAATTAGCAAGTTTTCCTAAGGTTACATTAAAGGTGATCCCAGATCTCTGACATTCCTTGCATAGAGAACTGGGGTCTCTGTCCACCTTCCTTGAATCTCAGTGGTCTCTGTGACTGCTCTGACCAATAGATTATGGTAAAATTGACAGTAGCTCATTTTCTGAGCCTAGGTCTTGAGGGCAGCTTCCTCTCCTTGGCTCTTGACACTGTCCCTGGGAGCCCTGAGCTGCCATGTAAGAAGTCCAACTACCCCCAGACCACCACCCTAGAAAGGCCACTGGTCAGCAATCCCTGATGATGCCTCATGAAACAGATAAGCTGCCCAGTCAAGTCCTATCCAGATTTCTGACCCCTAAAAGGGAACAAAATTAAATTAGTATCTTTAGTCATTAAGTTTTGGGGGTAATTTGTCAAACACAAATAGATAACAGGAACAGTGCTCTTCCATGGGTGAAGAAGTGAGTTTTGAGCAGATGCTAAGTCACTTTTCCCCCCAACAGTGATAGAGAACCTGGCAAGTATCAGTGACTGACCCAAACTTGTCATGGATGGAGAGTAACAACAAAATAATGCCAATATGACAGAGTAGACTTCACCTCTATCCTGACGTTGTGGACATTTTGAGCCCAAGATTCATGATAGTCTTGGTTTTCAAATATCAACATTTCATAAAACGAGGGTCAGAATCCCAACTTCTAACTTTACATAAATGTGAGTCACATTTTCCATTTCAACATTAGAGAGTTTTGTTATTTTATTTTTAAATACTATGTAATTAATATTATTTACACTCTTATTAATAAGATACCAATCATTTAAATTATTAAGAACTGGCATTATGTAAAATGAAGTTGAGGCAAAACATACCCAAACAAACCTATGGTGAGAATGATCGCGTTGCTGCGGGATTATGAGGGCTTCCTCCTCACACAGCCCCTCCTTTCTCCCACGTGGTCATTTGCTTTGTTCCTTATGGACCTGGGAGGGGGTTCTGCATTCAGAGGAGGCTCTGTATGTCTGTAGCCAGTTTTCCAAGCTACTGACACAGAATGGAAACAGGTGAGGCGCCCTCACCTGTCAAGTGTGCAGAAAGGCCCCCCCCCAGCAACTCAGCAGGTGGGGTCGCTGGGAGGGGGCCTGGGATCATCTCTAGCCAGAGCCCTGGATTATGTCATTTGCCCCAAACGACCTTGACCTTACAATGTACCGATTAGGTTTTAAATGACACATACTGGGGAATCTGTTCTCCATATCCTTAAACCCTGAGACTATGGGTTTTGAAAGGTATAAATGGTGGTGTCCTCATTGATAAAATAAAATTTGAAATTTAAATGTGAAAACAGAACTAATTGAGAAACAGTCATTTCCCTTCTTGTGAGTGGTAAAGATCGAACTCCTGCTAGTGAGGAGGCAAATCTGAAAACTGAAGCCCCTAGCCAGGACACTTTTGAGACATCGGAAGCTTTATAATTGGGAAAAAAGAAGGGTTAAGAATAAATTTCCTTTCCAGCCCCACAATGTTCCTGTCTTTGGCTACTGATATGATAGGAGCAACAGTAAACTAAGCTCAGTATATCATCCAGAAAGGAATGTGGGAGGGAGATTAAAAGTGCTTTTATGGGTCAACTGCTATGAGGGCAGATGCACACCTAATAGTCCTAAAACTCTTTTGCCACAGACACGGTTTGTTAAGCCTAATAAAGAGGGGAGTGCGAGTAAGACCTATTAGAACTCTTGTTTCCCAGAAAGAAGCTAGATTGCAGAGAAAGAAAGGAGGAAGGCGGGAGAGGCCTGAACAACTGACCCTGTTTCTATTTGCAAGGTCAGTGAGCTGGCGGCCCCAGAGTTTGATTTATGATCATGTCTGTGCCCCGACTAGTGTACCTGAGATGGAGTGAGATGACACCCTGATTAGAGAGCCTCCAGGGCTGGCAGTTCAAGAAAGACAGGCAGAGAAAAAGAGGATCCCCGGATCGATACATACCTCATCACAGGATCAGGAAGCAGCAGCTAAAAAGCCTTGAGGGTGAATTGAAAGAGAAACAATAAAGAGGAATTTGATGGACTTCCTAACTAAGAGCAAGAGACAGGTGCAGCTTTCTCTAAACTTGCCTTTTTCAAAATTGCAGGCTATAACCAATTAGTGTATCATAAAATCGATTTAATGGGTTGTGCCCAGCATCTGGGAAAGAAAGGAAAAAAGGAAGGAAGGAATGGAGGGAGAGAGGGAGGAAAGAAGGAAGGGAGGGAGGAAAGAAGGAAGGGAGGGAGGAAAGAAGGAAGGGAGGGAGGAAAGAAGGAAGGAAGGAGAGAAGGAAAAGGAAAAGGAAAAGGAAAGGAAGAAAGAAAGGAAGAAGGAAAGAAAGAAAAAGAATAGCATCCTCTATTGTAAGGATAAAGTGTACTTTTG